ACGCTAAACAGAGAAAAAACTTGGAATGGCCTTACTATAAATTCCCAAATTCTGATACCTTACAATTTTGTTGTGTTATGAATGAACATGAGGAAGATGCATATACTTTCAACATTATGAAAAATATAAAGCAAATCGAACGCCTTTTTGTGTGCAGATCATGAAATGTACTGAGATCCACGGGTATTTGTTGTCCTAAGCTCATTTATCTTGACACCCAAATTCTTACTTGGCGAGTGATACCTTAAGAAAACATTTGTATCTAGATGAAACTTAACTCGGCAACATGCGCCATCCCATTGTTTAAGTTTTATTTGGTGATTACACCTCCTATACCCGATTTGGCGGATTCAACAATACCCTTATATAGGGTATTATACGCGATTTCCATGGATAATACCCGATTTCGAGTATTCTCTCCGACCTGTTAAACCCACAAGAAAATTGGTGATTTCACATTATTAAAATGTTCAGTGGAAGACCACGTACGGCAAGTGTTTTCTTATTTTCAATTATAAGATTTTGCACAAGTTTTGCTTCAAATATGAATACAAAAATGGGTCTACTATTAACGGGACGCAATTGGTACCAATGGGAATTTTAATAGATTGTTGGAAGACCTGGTCTCCAAAAACTACATAGATATTGTCAATCAGAAACTCAAGAATCTTTTTGATGTCAACTTCTGAGTACTTGTTTGTGCAACCAAAATTTGTATAAACAAAATAATTTTGCAAATGACCAATGACCAAGTAAGTAAATTTACGAGTTCCATTTTTATTAAAAGAAACTGTGAAAGGAAGAAAAATTGGTAACATTTTGCAATATAAAAAAATGATCTTAAGGTACTGTGAGCACTGAGCTCACTATATACATGTAATACCCCATCTCCTATATAATTATAATGGAAAGTCCTTGTGTTGCTCTTGGGGACCTGAACAAAAAGTAAAATAGGTGTATAATGGCATTATGTAATGAAGAATCTCTGAAAGTATCATAAAATTTTATTGAGTGGTACATGTACAGGAGTAATTGCGGATAAGAGATCTCTACCCTTGAATATTATCGACGAAATGACATTGTTCATGTTTTGAAATGGGAAACCCAAAATATGTGTCGGATCAAAAAGTAAAATAAGAGATCACAAAATGGCACAATGGAAGAAAGATTCTGTGAAAGTTTAATATATATTTCATTTAACGGACAGCTAAACGTACAGAAGGATGGACATCCCCATCACTATATACCCTACCACTCTTCGTAAAGGGGAGGGGGGTAAATGATGAACGGTTTGTCACGTCAGATATAATATAATGAAACTTTTTTAGCAAAAATATATCGAATAATGCTAACTTTGCTTTTAGTGGTCCTTAATTTGTTGGAAAGAATGGATAACGTCTATCATCACTACCATGCAGTTTGTGGGACTTCTAACTAGTGGCTTTATCGCGGGTCAAGTTGCTGATCTGATTGGTCGTAAGCCCACTTTACTCCTGTCCCTCACCCTCCTGGCCGCCAGCAACCTGCTCTGTGCATTCTCTTCCTCCTGGGAAATGTTTGCTATTGCGCGGTTTCTGATTGGTTTAGCCTGTGGGATGTTCTTAACGGTGTACTTAAACTTTGTGCTGGAGTTTATTCCCACTACGTACCGAGCGATGATAATGGCGATCGACACGTGTCCGATTAATGCAGCTCTTCTCGGTCTTGTTTCCTTCTGGTTGAAGGATTGGCGGTATCTACATTTTGCGACCTTTCTTATAACTCTTCCATTCCTTTTGGGAATGATGTAAGTTATTTCCCCGAATTTAACTTTTATATTAATTAAACCATTTTATTTTCTGTTTTTATAGCTTTTTCATTTTACAACAAAAAATAAATCTGATAAATCGCTTTTTGGGGTCCAATTTTCGAATTTGAATTTCTCGTTGAATTATTTCGTTGATGAAAAATTTCTGATAATTTATGTCTATGACATTTTACATTTCTTGGAAGGCATGAATTCAGTCAAATTGGCATCTCATACCTTGAAATCAACGAAAAATAATCCAAACGAAAATCAGTGATCTCCAAATACCTGGGGTCTGAGTCTCGCAATTTTTAACTGACTTTCAGTATGGTTCCCGAGAGTTTCCGGTGGCTGGTTTCCCACTTCAAAACTGAGAAAGCCAAGGAAGTTATAGAGAGAATTGCTATCATAAACGGTAAAGAAAGAACGGATGTGACGAAACTGATAGCAAAAATTCAGAAAGAGACTGAAGAAGTGGTCAAAAAGAGTTATTCAATTTTGGATATATTCAGAGACACAACGCTGACGAAGCACTCCTTCTTGCTTTGGTTTATATGGTAAGTTTTAAAATCATTTTTGAGTTAAAAATTTAGAAGTATAATCAACAAAATTATCATTATTTTATTTTCAGCTCTCTCTACTCTATCAAGGAGAGAGAGAGAATGTATTGAAGAAATTTTAAACTCTTGTTTATTGATATCTATCCAGGCTTTCTACCGGTTATTCTTACTTTGCCATTTCATTTGGTGTGGAGGAGCTATCTGGAGACCTTTATCTTAATATAATCCTCCTAAGTTTAGTGGAAATCCCGGCACAATTAGCCACATGGTACCTTAATAACAGGCGAGTGTTCATAAATGACTTTGATTAAGTTAACCAGAAACACATATATCGAAAATAGTGTACTGAATTTCAAGACGCAGTATTTTAATGACTTGATAAACTGGTATACATGTATTGCAAAATAGAGGTACACTTAAGCTTAGCTGTTTTTTTTTTCTTCAGTTTATGTTGCTTAGTATTTATAATGTTGTCATATGATTAAGTTTGTTTTTAGCATTGGCAGACGTTGGACATTCTTTGTTTTATATGATCGCCCTTTGTTTTTCAGTATTGGCAGACGTTGGACATTCTTTATGTTTTATATGATTGCCTTTTGTTTTTAGCCGGGCTTTGCTGAAAGCAAAGTTCTGGCCATAGGCTTCATGATCGTCTGTCTTACTATAAAAAGCACAGTAAACAAATAACCAAACAGCATCAAATCAGACGCTTCCGATAAAAAAAAATAGTCCAATTGCGAGACGATATTCAAACAAATATTTTTAACATCCCAATCGTTGGAAAAGTTAATGAGCAATTTTTTTGCTTGAGAATTAAAATGAAATAGAAATTAGATATTTACTTTATTGGAATAATCGTGATAAAACAATTTGTGCACATACACCATGTACACTGCTGAAAGCATATTGTAAGCGAAATATTTTCAATAGCGCAGGCTTTTTGAAATGTTGAAATTGTTGAAGAGTTTTATGTTTCATATCGTTTTCGTCGATGTTATGTTAGTGGTTATATTCTGTTTTGATGTTTAGAAATTTAATATACAGTGAATTGGAATTTTAATAATTAAATTCGTAAAGTCGCTTGACAATGTACATGTATCAGTGTTTCTATATGAAGTTGGCGATAAAAGTACTGTTTGTTTAAAAGAATATCTAAAAAATACACATGTGCATTATTTTAACTACATGTATTCCAAGACTGAATTTTTTAATTATGTGAAAAACAATGCTTATTGAATTGAAAAATATGCGAGAAATTCTTGTAAATATTATTTATAAATTAAAATTTTAAAACCATAACATATCTTGGGGTCTGGACTGTTAATTTTAAGTACTGGTTCATGGGATATTGTTTTAAATCATAATTACTCAAACTCTACCTTAAAAAAGCAATGAGCAAAAGATTAAATATGTACTAATTTCGGATCAGTCAATAGACTCGAACAATTAAAGCCCGGCCTTCAGTTCTTTCAATACTTTAATTCAGTATTGACAGACGTTGGACATGCTTTATGTTTTATATGATCGCCCTTTGTTTTTCAGAATTGGCAGACGTTGGACGTGCTTTATGTTTTATTTGATCGCTGCTGGTGGTGGATCAACAGTTGGGAGTATTCAAATATTTGGTAAGTTTAGACCCACATTACAAAGGTACTAGTGTCTTATTAGTATACCAGGATGCCAAAGCAATGCTAAAAAATCAGAAACTTAAAACTATCAGCGAATACAAAATACCGGTAAAATTTTTATTAGCTTGCTGGATAGAATAGTTTATTCAATTCACCTGTAAAATGTGATGATACATCTTAGCAATCTGGTTACCAAGACGTAAACAAAATGTGATATCTTTAGATCAAACTGAATACCCTTTTGAGCTACCCAGTAAGCTACTTAAAACTTCACCGGTATTTTGTAATTCGAAGTCTTCATCTTTGCAGATGCTGTTAACAGCCCAGTTGTCATTAACTTGTTTGCTATGATGGCTAAATTAGGTGTAGCGGCTGCATGGGCCGCCCTCAAGACGTTCACCACGGAGACTTATCCCACCGTCGTCAGGTGACGTATTGTTGGATGCAGTTCATGTAACCTGCATAGCACATTAATATAATCGAATATTTCAGGTTGTCAATTCATAGTCCTGCATTAATCAAATCTATAATAATTCAACTGGCAATATGAAGATTGATTAACTGGTTATTCAAAGAATTACTTGCACATACATATACATATTAGTACCTGGATTTATGTTACAAAACGCCTTAAAAACGATGGTAATTATTTTCAAATGACGGTGCGAGTTTTTGTAAAGGTAAGTTGCTGAAAATAATTTCACTTTCCTTAAATAATTTAAGTACTCAGGTATATATTATAGATGTATTACATGGCTTCGAGGGCAGCATACCAGAATATTTGCCCCAAGGTGACAGGAAAGCCCTGGAGTGTTATGTCGCCCGATGCCGCAGGCAGTGGGCGACATAATACTCCAGGGCTTTCCTGTCACCGAGGGGCAAATATTCTGGTATTGCTGTCCGAGAATTAAGCCATGTAATATATGGTATATAACATTTTTAAGCATTTAACCCAAATCGATCATCGAACATATTTATTTAACACTATGTACACATATGTACGTTGAGTATAATTCCGAAATATACCCGTCCTGTTTCATGGCAGAATGTTTTCAGTATGCTGACACTTGTGTTGATAACCTTTGTTGTATTTAAAGATTTTTTCTCCTCAATTAAATTATATAATTCCTCTGGATTGAAATAAACAAATCGCAGACGTTGTCTCGACTTTTTAACTTTCGCGGAACTGTTTACGTTTGCTTAGCAACTGCCTCTGTGAATTTCGAACCCGACGTAATTAATATGCAGAATAATTGCACGCGAGGGAACATAACTGTGTTCGGGAGAGCAACATAACTGTTTCCGGTGGAACATAACTGTATCCGGCGTGATTCAGCAGTTTTTCAGGGCATATGGATAAAAATATTATATTTGTGATATAATGGGAAAACTTCTTCAAAAATGTTATATTGTATTTTATTTCTAGGAGAATTTATTCCTGACTAATTCCAATTCACAAATACACACAAAAACACATTTATTCATAATTGAACTAATCTATTTTTACTACAGAAACATCGGATACGGCTGCGCAATCTCCATTTCCGGTGTTGGCGCCATGGTGGCTCCTCAGATTGTTCAAATGGTAACGAAGGATATTATTGTGTAAATTTATCAAAGTTATTTTACATCTCTTTAATTTTTACTACTTTTTGTAAGAATAACCGACGGGTCCTCTTATAAGTCGTACAAAACACTAATCATGTTTAAATAGAAGTACTTTACAGTCCTTGGCATTTAAGTTAAAAAAGACAAAGACAAAAAAACTAGTCAGCCAGAAAGAGAATAGATTCAATAGGATGGACGAGCAGAGACCTGCTGTACAGCGCTGCTGAAGGGCCATTCTAACAAAATATGCTATAGTAAACTTTAGTTGACTATAGTTTACTATAGTTAACTTTAGTATCAAAGTGAAAACTTTTGTAAGTTTAATTTACTATAGCGAAACTTGGGGACTATGATTTAATATAGTGGAAACTTTATTACTTTGATTAACTTATATTTAAACATATGGAATATGTTATTGATACCCATTTTGACATTATGATATTTTATCGTCAAAATTCATAAAAAGCTTCACATAAAGTTTTATAAACCCGATCCATCCCCTGAAAAAATGATGTACAAATGAATCTGAATGTAAAGTTGTCTTTCGTGCTGATAGATAAGCATTTGATTTAAAGAAGATGTAGTGTAAATATTTTTTACGACGAAATGAAAATGTACTATAAAATTAAATTTGTGTCATTTTCTAACCAAAATAACTGCTCGAACAACTTCAGTAAACATGGCTCATTTAATTAATAAATGTTAACATTGAATTTGAATTAACTAATTTGGAAATTTGAATTGACATGTTCAAGAACCCCTCCCCACCTATTCCTAACTCCACCTCAAAATGACAAAATGAGCCAAAAAACAAAAATATTTTGATAAGTTGATAAACTATTGTGAAAACTTTGGAATTTGGATTAACTATAGTAAGAATTTCGGAACTTTGATTTACTGCTGTGAAAACTTTGGAACTTTGATTTCCTTTCGTAAAAAAAAATTTGGAACTTTGATAAACAGTAGTGAAAACTTTGGAACTTTGAATTGCTATAGTAAAAACGTTGGAACTTTGATTTACTATGGTGTAAAAATTTGGCGTTTGCGTGTGTCAGGCATGGCAGATCGATAACCCCATTTTTTAAAAAAAGAAATAGAAGTTGAGAATCGCCAGCACTTAAAATAGCTACATGTTTGATTAATAATGTCTTTAGATTATATCAGATTTACCCATAAACTGTGAACTAAAAATTCCGAGTGATCAGAACCCCCTTATCTGACGTTAATATCACGTCTTTTTTCCAACTTGTGAATGTTATTGGTTCAAACAGCAACATAATTTGGTACAATTACGAGGGTTGATCCAAACGTAGTGTCACAACTTCAATAAGATTGCTGCTAGTTGATGTACAACAACAAAGTTAATATATTTATTTCAAATAAGACCTTGAAATTTCAATTCAAACTAAATGAAATAAACCTTTTAAATATATAGCATTATGTACAATGTGCGAATTTGGTAGTCGCCGCATATAATTAACATCATATTATGGATACGTGCCGTCATACTTAAAAACGTTTCAAAATAAAAATATTTGAGATTCTCGAATACGTTCACAATTTTCTGTTCTTAATAAATTCTTGGTAACCATTGTACATTCCCTCTTTTCATAACAAAAGTCCTATGTCAAGATTCCCTGAACATTATAATAAGACAGTGTCCATATCCATTTACATAGCAAATACACGATGTCTTTTGACAATATCAGACACCATGTTAAACGTTTCCTTCCAATATCTCTTCATTGAGTCTTCCTGTCTTCTGATAGTATAATTCAATGACCTATCACACTCCCTAAAATAGCTGACATAAACTATAAACAAGATTCTTCTTTACTTTTTTGTCATTGTGAATCTGATTAATCAGTGTTACTGTCTATACTGGTAAATTCCCCATTTTGAAGAAAAAATCCGTTACAGCTCATTACTGCGTTTTCTTCCCCTTTGACCCGTTCCTTGTGCAATGCACCAGAGTCAAACTCAATTTTTGTAATCAAACATTACAATGGCGTCAGTTAATTTTGACGAATCATTTGAAAAACACGTAAGTTAATTTGTCTTTTAAAAATAATTAGGCAATAAGATGCGTATTAAATGTTTTTTAATGCGTTTGCCTTACTCATCCTTAAACAAGCATTCTTTAAAACTTGACGTTAAGATGTGACGCGGCGACACCACATTTGCTTCACGTATTCAACATCTTTAAAATCAATTTATTTAACATTATTAGACAAATTTTTCAATGTTAATTACATTCATATATGTGTCTTCATGTGGATACCAACAATTTTGACAATTTGATCTTGACCTTTGGAGTTTGACTAGCATCAGAGATATTTTAACCCTCGCCATAAGCTCTCATACGGGAGCATCAGTGTTTCACAAACATATCTTGCTACTTAATTTATGAGTTGTTACGAAATACTAGACTGATTTTTTGGATCATCCCATTTCTCTTGTTTTGGGCAAAAATTAAGCTTCTTTATATCAGTTTATTTTATTCTCTAAAGATTCTGTATATAGATTATTGTTTAATACTCGGGTGACCATTAAGACCCTTGCGCCTCTTGAATCGCCTCTTTTTCGCAGTCATATTCTGTCACGTGTTTTTCAGAGTAAATCATTTCCGGGCCTGATGTACTCCCTGTGCGGCGGCTTGATGTTTTTGTCCGCCATAACAGCGGTTCTAGTGCCCGACACGAAGGGAAAAATCATGGAAAACAAAATTTAGTCAAAAAAATAGAAAATCTGTATGATATCAGATGGTAAGAGGTCTAAGATTTTATACACATTAGTTTTAACATTTGATTTACATGTATATTAAAAATCAATTATATAAAAATTTATATTAAAAATTTATTATATAAAAAAACCCAGAAAAGTAAGTACGAGTTGCTTTTACCTTAATATTTTTATAATTATACAATGTATAAATGTACCTTTAAACTTGTACTAGTGTGTCTTGATTAAACATGTCGAGGGTACCAGTGTGAAAATGTATTTCAATTATTTGATCAGCAAGAAGACATAAAGGAAAATAATAATTATTAAACTTTAATGTCCTGAATTTTTCTCGAAACATATTATATTTTTTATTATTAGGTGTAATTAAAGGGAAGAATGTGTGTCAGACTGAGACATTGCAGTAGTATTGAGAAGTCATTTAAGCAAAGAAGTAAATCCTTCCAGCATGATTTTTTTTCATAGCCCGAGTTTCCAGTGTGTAATTTGAAACTATTTAGCATTGCCTTCTTCTTAATGTTGCTGATGATTAAATTGTACACAAATATTTTACTTTTTTATTCTTTTTTTTCCCTTTTCCTAGACGCCAACTTTGAGGCTTCATATTTCACTTCCGGTTTTGAGTTATTTCCCTTTAAACAAAAATTTATAGGCTTGCATTTCCAGACAAAGGCTCGGAGATGGCAAAAGCTGGAGCAAAAATTTTACTGATTTTACACAATCAAGTTTATTTGATTTTATATCAAATAGTAAATTATTAATTTAGGACAGGGTTCTTATGTTTGGTTAGTGGTGATAAAGTGTACATCTATTACGAGTAAATCTACGTACGAATTAATCATATATGCGCACCGGAAGTTATCCCCCTTTTTAAACTAGTAAATTGATGCAATCAGACGCTTTTTTAAGTCAAAAAGAATCAAAGGCCATCGACGTCCCCGGGACCGAAATTATGCCGCCGGTTAGAACCAAAACGACTCAAAGAGCGTCCAGGAAGCGAAGGGAGGCTATGGGAACCCCATCGAGAGGCAGAGGGCAACGGTGCAGACAAAGCACCAGGCCAAACCACTCGCCACCACGCCGGGCCCCGGTCGAGCCAACAGATGCTGATGGAATTCCCTCAGAAGCTCCTCCCACGCCATCCGTGATAATCGAACCCACATTGTCACTACCAACAGACAAAAGCACCCCTGGAACTTCCAGTGGAGGCGGTGAGTTAAATTTTTCAAGTCAACCACGACAAGAAAACAGTAACTGTTGTTATGATTCTTTAGGTTCACACGTCCCTCAAAAAATTAAAAACCAAATATGGGAGGGCAAATTTATATATCTCTCACTGCTAGCAATAACAGCTTGTGAATTACAAGATTATGAATCACAAGGGGATATAAAAATTAAAGAAGGTCGTCTATGCATTGTTAAACCAAAAACAAATACCTTTCTCACGATCGATAAATGGGCATCGGCTTTTATTAGCTCACCTGAGCTGAAGGCTCAAGTGAGCTTTTCTGATCACATTTTGTCCGGCGTCCGTCTGTCCGTCTGTCTGTCCGTCTGTCCGTGTTTACGAGAGTGCATTTATTGGGTATTTTTCATGCCAAGATTGTACTTATTGGGTACTTTTAGCTTATTGGGTATACCCAATAAGAAGTGTTGCTGAATATGCTTAAAACACCCTAATTGGGTATTTGCAGGTTAGTACCCAACAAAACTTGGACACGACGATTTGTCCAAAAAAGTGTCCAAAAAAGTGGCTTTCACAGACGCACCGTGTTTTGTTGTTTCAGTTTTACATTCGGAACTCTAAATTCTTGAGAGTTCCGAAAATCAACTTCCGTTAATCCTGATCATAACAACGTTTGTTTTCATGGAAAAAAATATGGCGACTACGAAACACTTAATGTCAACTCCATTTTCTGATTGACAAGAGAAAAGGTAAGTTTATTCGATTAATATTTATCCATTGCTGGGTTCTTGTTTAAGGAAAATAGATTTTAATGTAATTTTGAAAACAATTGTGCACAAAATTAAAAAAGATATATCGGAAAAATTAATCCTAAGTTGCACTTGTTTCTATTTTGAATTTTCTCTGTCTTTTTAACTCTCTTGAGGGCGAGAAGTATTTAGTAAATGATCGTATATTGTTAGATAATCTTTAATAAATCGAAAGTGTTTATTATTTAATTTTATATCATAACCAACTAAGTATGTTCTGACAATTTATATTGGAAAGGGGAATGAAAATTTTAACAATCGTGTGTTCATAAATCAGCTGTAAATTATCGGTTCATGTAGACAGTATTACAATCGCAAAGTGAGCTGAGATGATGATAAATGGGATAATTGACAGCAACTAAATAATTGTATGTAAGTTTATCTCATCTGATATGTAAGAGATTCATTGCATTACTGAAAAAACTCTCAGTCAAAACATTGCTTCTTTCTGTCTTTGATTTTGACTGAGTGTCTGCTTTATTTTGATTTTTTTTTTTAAATTATTGTTTTTGTCATTTGTTTTAATTAATTTAAAACAATACTGAAATTGATATAGGGCTACTATAACTATTTCACATGATGGGTGTGTAATTAGCATCGCGCTACACCCGGGGCTTCCATTTTTGAGGATGGGCTAGTGGTTTTCTGCACTGGGGAATCCCCTTGGGCTATTAAAATACACATGTAAAACATGAAAAGCACCACCGGTATTTTCACTCTTTTTTGCTATTAAATTCCCTAATATGGAAATATTCCAGACAGCATGCTCATATAATCCATAAATCTCCACAACTGCATCCATTTTGTAGTACTACAAGACTGATTTACTTAAAAACGATCTTTTATTTCCTAATTTGAATTCCTTCCTTTCCTTTGTTTAATATAGCAATATTTGCTTGTACATATATGCCTCACCGATATCTCATTATTAAATTATATACATTCACTCAATCAGCTCAATGATAAGTGTCATGCAATTATGTAGCGTTTTTTAAAAGCCATATAGGGAGTAACTGATCAAAAAATATATTTTTGGAAAATACAAAATTAAGTAAAGAAATATAGTTAATACATTTAAATTAAAGCTTTTCATATAATTCGGAGCACGGAGAACACCTCGTTTTATCTAATAATACGATTTTATCTTCTCTGTAATGTGCTATTTAAATCTTTTGTATTTTCTTCCAAGTCGGAGAAAATTCCGAGAATCCAAATTAAATTTTGATATCTTTATAACGCAATTGACTCAGATTTTGTAATTTACGGAAAATTTCTATCTTTATCATGTTTATATAAAGTAATGATACAAATAATAAGTTCTTATAATTTTAGTCTAATAATTTTCATTGTACATATGCCATATATGGCTTTAAATGATTCAAGATGAAAACAAAATGATTTTTGCTTCGTTTTAATTAGACGAACTAGTGAATGACTAGAAAAGGAATATCTAAAATCTTTTTTCATTTTTTTAAATCATTAATTTATTTATGATAAAATTTTACTATTTCGAAAATTAAATTAAACTTTTATTTGAAAAAGAATCATCTGTAGTTAATAGCCAGGAGCCCGTTTCATCAAAGGTCGTACGCCCAGTCGTAGCGCTACGCCGGCGTAAAGTCGGGACTAGCACGAAGATTTGCATTTCATTAAAGAGCGTATCGTTACGCCTGACTAAATAGGCCACAATTTTACGTCTACTCATGGGTAGGTGTAAGTTTAGGGCGTAAAGTTAAAATAATGCCTTTTTATTAATTTTAGCGAGTTCTAAAGAAAAAGTAAGGTTCTAAGAAGAATTTAAAATACAAACAATGCATATTTTAATTATACATATTATGAAGAGGGGGAGGGGGTGGGGGTGTTGTTACAACTACTTGGGGACGCAGTTGATTTGCGTAATAACGTACTTAAATAATATTTTGATAAATTTCTGCTGAGAAGAAAAGATTGTCTTATTAGAGATTTCTTACATTTTGACAATGCATTCATACACATTTGATTGTGGTATTGTATGTCTAAGGTATTGTAAATCAATTTACATATATAACTGTATTTCTACACTCCGCTTGAAAAGCGGGACGGAACATGTATATGTACATGTATATACTATTTAGTAATCGGGATGTCCGTCCGTCCATCTGTTACGCTTTGGGGGTTCCATCTCTATCCGCAACTCCTTTCATATCACTGATTGAAATTTGGTGAAATTTTCACAGAATCTTTATTATATATTGCCATTGTGCCTCATTGTACTTTTTGATCCGACGCATAATTTTGGGTTTCCCACAGCAAAACATGGACACTGCCATTATATTTATATGGAAGGAGGGGGAATATCTTTTATTGAACTCATTGCTTACGGTACCTCTAGTTTCTTTTTCATTTACTAAAAAGAGACCCATTAAAATTGTCTATTTTGAAAAATATTTTCCAACAGCATATTTTCTGAAAAACAAAAATTACAAAAAACAAACAAAAAAAAAATCGGTTTCAAAAGCATAGTTATCATCTTTCATGTAATTTTCTACATTTAAGAAAAAAATTTCAAAAAAATAACCCATCTTAAAACTAAATAGTTTTTGTCATGTTTGAAGAGATCGAGTCCATTTCTTATTTATTTCTCGTTCACATGCGTGGATCCAGAGGGGGTCGGAGAGAGGGTTCAGAATCTCCCGAATTTGCAGTTTAATTAACATTGAATGTACAGATTACTTAGTTAAGGACGAAAGTAATTATTTTCCTAGGTATCTGGGACAAGTGATGTTCCCGGCGAATCATAGACCCCAACCCAGGGAGGGGGTTGAGGTCTCATAGACAATAAGAGATTTTTGAAAGTGGTAATAAATTATTGCGTTTATAATATCGATGTAAGACGGTGATAATTACAGAGTTAAGTTCAAGAATGAATTATTCCTAATGTTTTCTCAGACAAACATTGATGCAGAAGACATCTTTAATTTAAATTTCATAATTTTGTTTAAAAGAGCAAATCTTACATAGTATAAGATAATCTGAGCGCATATAAAGCACATATAAGATGAAAATATACATGTTTTTGATTTCCTGCATTACTTACATTTTAATGAAAACAAAATAAAGAGTAGTGTAACTAAATTTTAAAGACAGAGAACACACAAGCAGAGAATTTTTGTAAGAAGATCTTTGTAGTCATTTTTCCAACCCTCTCTCTCTCTCTCTCTCTCTCTCTCTCTCTGCGTACTTTTAAAACGGTACATCACATTTAATCTGCAGATAATAAAGAATTTTTTTCTATAACTGAACAATTATGAATCAATTGAATTGACAAAAAATTAATAAATACAGAGAGGATTATCTTACATGTACCATAGTAGTAAACGTGTAAAATTTATTTCTTGAATCAAAATGTGTTCATATGTAAACCGTTTGCAGTTTGTTTTCATTATTTTTGCTTGCATATACATTTCTTATTAAAATTTTTAAATCTTATTCTGTCTCAAACTTAATAATTAGAATTTGTCAGTAGAATCAGTATTTATCGAATCATGAAATTTATTATCAAAGGCGAAGTTATTAACCTGTATCAATTTCGGGAAGAGGGGGTATGGCTGTAATTAAATTTCCAAAATGAATAGTTTTGCTTACTGTAGAAGTACTTTTTTCCGCGTGGTATTTATTTACGCTATGTACGCGGTCACAAATTTTCCGCGGAAATTTGTCCAAGCGTACTTAATATAAATGTAAGGCATATAGTGACAGTCTAGGAAATCCGCGTAATTTTCTACTCGCGGATTAAACAGAAATTGAGATTCCGCGGAATTATGACCCCGTGGAAAAAAGTACGTCTACGGTAATTCCGAAATACAAGTACATGTACTGTCCTTTTCATCCTTTCAATTTATAAGACTTTTATTATTGAAATATTGTAAAAAACTAAAATTGGTTTCTTAAAAGATGCATGTCTCTTACATAACACTATAAACCCATGCATGTTTCAATTAGTGCAAGTATTAATTTATCAATAACTTGTGTTATTCTGTACTTTGACGTGCTACAATTTATACATGTTTGTACGCTTTGGGCAATGCAACGTTGTCAAGGACTTAGTCCTGTGACTAAGCGTATATTTTACGACTAGACTTACGCCACTTGGTGAAACGCAAATTACCCCGACTAAATTTTTGCGTAATCCCCGGAAGTACGCCTAAGTTAAGGCTTAACTTTACGACTTTTGATG